GCCTGACTACGTCCACTGCAGGACAAAGGCCTCTCCCATGTTCTGCCAGTTAACCCGGTCCTGTGCTTGCTGCTGCCAATTTATACCCGCAAACTTCTTAATCTCATCTACCCACCTAATCTTCTGTCTCCCCCTAACCCGCTTCCCTTCTCTGGGAATCCAGTCAGTTACCCTTAATGACCAGCGGTTATCCTGTCTACGCGCTACATGCCCTGCCCATGTCCATTTCTTCTTCTTGATTTCAGCTATGATATCCTTAACCCCCGTTTGTTCCCTAATCCATTCTACTCTCTTCTTGTCTCTTAAGGTTACACCTACCATTTTCTTTCCGTTGCTCGCTGCGTCGTCCTCAATTTAAGCTGAACCCTCTTTGTAAGTCTCCAGGTTTCTGCTCCGTAGCTAAGTACCAGCAAGATACAGCTGTTATATACCTTCCTCTTGAGGGATGTTGACGTGTAACGTGTAATAAAAAATGACTTCAGTTTCCGAGTGGAAACACTAGTTAGCATGTGGAGCATATATGTTGAACTGCAGTAAATGTGGTTTGTAATTTGCGACATGCGTGTGTGTTATGAGTGAACACGAGTGAACACGCACGCACGTATGCTGCGAAAGGCTGTGTTTATTTATGAGACGCTTTGGGTATTTTGAGCAGAATGGCTTTATGGTCTGTAAAGTGAAGGATGAATGGGTCTGGTTGCAGCGGTCGAAGGTCGAAATATGCAAAGACGTGGTCGATGCATGTGCCGCGAACCGGGGTCGGATGATGTTTGCCGTCATGCGTTGCTCGTTTCAGCAAGTGCGGCGACTTCATGTATTCAACCACCCAATGGTCCTTGATGACGTCGACGTTCAATTTGCCAACCATCATGAAGGGTCGTTGTTATTTCAGATATTTTTCCGCGGCTTCGTAGACGTACTTTTCCACAGCGGCACGCGATAGGTTGGGCGCGAGGTACATCGTCATGACGTCAACTCCGCAGACGCTAGCGACGCAATGCTCGCCGTTGGCGCGTTGTTAAGCGCCGGGCCGCAGTCGGAGGTCTTCGACGGAGTCGACGTCGTCACGCTTGACGTAAATTTCCACGCCGCCCACAGGTCGTTGCAACCCATGCATGCACACATGGGTTGCAACCAGCGTATTTTGCAACGTCGACGTCATCGGTGGCGTTCCACGTCTCGGTGAAGCAGAGTACATCCACTCTGCGGAGTACGGGGTCTTGCACGACGTCAATCGCATGAGCGCCCAGCGACCTGGTGTTGAGCAGTGCCAGGTTAAGTGGAACTCGTAGTCAAGGTCTTCGAGCGCGCGAAAGTATTGTTGGGTGATGGTGTCCAGCCTGTTTTTCTGCATACGTTCAAACTCGTCAGCCATATTCTTGTTGACGTTTTCACGCCCTGATTGGAAGGGACGTCTGTGTGTGTTTGCGGATTCGTTAGCATTCATTTTCACCAGCGACACCGGACGTGGAGCGACCGCACAAACCAACCGACGAACGGCGCCCCGCCCCGACACTCGGTTATTTATGGCGAGTGCCGGCCCTGGCCTGCGCATGCGCGCGTTAGCACACAGCTGGCGCATATAAAACTAAAAGTTGCGCGGCGTGCGGAGGGGAGAAGGAGTGCAGCGCGCGCTGTGTTGAGAGGAGGAAGGGATGCACAGATGGCTGGCATAGAAGTAGGGGAGGCTGCGGACGACGACAGCGCATGACTAGCCCCTAGTATAACATGCTCCGCATGTAAAAGACACCTTCATTGCACTTTTTTCAGGCTTCGAACCAGATGACTGCAACTGCAACGGTTCCTCGACATTCTGACTGACAAGCACACATTGAATTATGCTCTTTTCTTTCGCCATTTTTTTATAGGTGTTTTGCATCTTGGTGATTTCACGAAATCATTCAAAGTGATGCGATGAAGATCAAACGGGACGAATGAGCGCATTTTCAACATCGTCACTCAGGACGGTATATGTGGAATATATCACACCGAACACGTAGCACAAGTGTCCATGTTGCAAGGCAATCTATTTCTATGAAGCTCCCATACGCTGTTTGCCGTCAAAGTAAAATAACTTCCACGAGACAGCCATGATAATGATAATTTGGCCATGATAATCTACACACACCCAGCAATCAAATAAAGGACACATCTCGATTCTGAAAATTGATGTCAGTGCTCCTTTGAGGCCTCTATATGCATATCGGATGCCCAAGCAGAAGAATCGCACCGCAAAAAATATTGGCCCCGTATGTGCATCTTTCACTGCAAATGTCTTCGAAAGATGATATTCTTATTTCTGGGGAAAGTTAACAAAATGTTTATCTGATGTTCTGTGCAAGAAAATTGGTGAATTGTATTCTGGAGGCACTGCCTCGATCTATGTAGCAGACGCGAACGAGCGCATCGAGCCACATGAGAAATGAGCGCTATCCGGCAGTTATCTTAGAAAACAAAGGATGGCGTGCGCGCCCGTTTTGGAGGTGATAAAATGTGGAACCTGAAGCGACGGGTGGGTGCCAGCACCGTGTTGTTTTTAGTAAAGTGTTGAAACACATTTTTGTGCATAGCGTTGCATTGTCAGCGCAGTGTGATAAACGTCACAGTTTTTAAAATTACTTCTGTATGCCTTCTCTAGTATGAAGAGACACACCACAGAATATTGACGTGTTGTTAATTTGCCTCATATATGCACAATAATTGCTTTTTAATTGGCAATTGCACAAGTATGAATGCTAAAACTTGAGTAATACTGGTGAGTGCTGTGGATGGGGTTGGATTTTGGCCGTTTTGGATACCCTTTGGGCGGAGAAACAGACAGACATACAAACTAAAATTTTTGTGTCGAAGTACCCCAAGAAAGACTATCGTCTTTAATGTCTGTGCGCTTATCTTTACCCACTAGCATGGGGGAGGTGGCAGTCACGAACCTTTACTTCACTGTCGGCTTCAGTGAGGTGGTAAGCTACTGTGACATTTCATTTTCTGATAATAGAGCTCAAGTTTTGCATTTGATGTCTCATTTGACCGAGTTATGATGGCTACTTGAGATGGTATTATCGTCATATGGTCGATATAGACTCCAGATGGGGTACGAAACTCCCCAAAGAGGCTACGTTTCAAATGCCCAACACTGCCATTTGAAATACCTTTCAGAAATCACCTGTATATTGGTGGTATCTGAAGGCAATTTGGCGCTGGCATTCTAACAACATAAAATACCTCCAAAATGACTGAAACTTGAACAACCATTCGGAAATAATTAGTTTGTCTTGCGGTCATGTATCAAAACATTTTGACCACAGGGGTTCCCTCAGAAGAACAGAGTGCTCTAGACGAGTCATGTCTGTTTAGCTCTTGACTGCACTTATTAGGGGAAAAAAACAAAGAAAGAAAGTGCGATGAAGGCAGCGGTTCATTTGCGAGAGGTGTGAGGGCAGCGTGCTTGAGAAGGCTGTTCTAGGGCAGCTGAAGACGGAAATGTGTGACCGGAGAGCGACAGCTCCTTTCATAATGCGAGTGCGCCATGTTATATGTAAGCAATAAGTAATTTGAACAATAATATTTTTATGATGTTGTCAAAAACAATAAGGACCGTTTACATGCCTACTTCGTCGTTTCGTTTCGTGTGGATGTATGTAATTTACGAACTTGGTATATTTTGTATAAACCAAGATGACAACAAGTGACCTACAAGGTCCATTTCTTGCACAATTTTCTAACCTTATGGACTGGTTGTGTGTCGGACAATACGTGGACGTGCCAGATGGCTTTAGTCCACTGTAGTGAACAATCAATCAATCAAGAGATTGCTCATTCGCTTGCCCAAACAGCCAAATGGCTTTTTGGCCCCACAAAATAATACTACTAATAATAAAAACAAGAATCACTCTCATTACCATCCTCAGTGGTGGGTGTGAAAATATAGTTGCCATGCACACCGTTTTATCTAGTTACACCTCTTAGTTACACCATATCTTCTTAGTTAGTTACACTTATTAGTTACACCATGTCCAACAGTGCTGAAAACATCATTGCAATTTAGTGGCTGTGTGTGTCACATCCTTCTCTGTCCGTGTTTTTTCGTGTGCTATAAAACTCCTGAACCATGCCATACATTTCAAAAGGTGCAGGAGGTGTTGCAGTGCTGGTTCATGATTTTTCTGCACACTATATGTTAACAGAGCCCACCTAGCGCAGTTGTGTGCACTAGCAGCTGAGGAGACAACCATCATTCAGGCATAGGCTTCGTACTTGCGTCTGCGTACCTGTGTACTTTTCCAAATGTTTGCACCTGTGTTTTTTTCGTGGTCGATGTATCTTTTCGTGTTTTACACTATGCATTTTCCTGGGCAGATGGGTCGTCTTCAAACTTTAGATTTGATCAACCGCATTTGCCCAGATGTGTGGTTTGCCATTTGTCAGGTGGACGGTGTAAGTAACGCAAAAGAAAAGGTCGGCACCATTTCAGTACCTTTCTGGCGTGCACTGTGTCTGCACAACTGAACTCATGCTGCACAATTTGTGAACTTCTCGTGTACCACCACTAGCCATTTGGGGCAGGTAAATCGAACGGACCTAGTATGTATAAGCACAAGCTGTGCTTCACATTTTCATGGTCTTTCTGGCCTGCACACTGATTGAGCTACCTTTTCCAAAATAGTTTCAGGGCACAGCTGTGAGCCATTTTGGGCCAAAGATTGCGAGGGTAATGATGTTTATGACATGATATAGAAGCGCTGTGATTTGATTTTCAGCTAATGAAACTGTTATATTTATTTTCTGGAAGTTTGAATTTTTCAAATAGTAAACCCTCAGTGGGAATCAAATAGCCAACATTATTAGAAAACTGTTTGAATATTCGCACATTCTGTGTAATAAGCTGTCGTACATGGTACGCCAAGTATGAAAGAAATTATGGATCACCCTCCTATCGCCCAAACACTGTTAGAGGAATCTGAGAGATGCTATCAATGATTCATTTTCTTGTTTTTCCCCAGCTAAACACGTGGTGGCACAGTATTCCGGAGGGCGATCGGGTGGCGTATGGCCTGATTGCAGCCAACGCTGTAGTCTTTCTGCTGTGGCGAGTTCCCCGGATGGAGCCTGTTATGCTGCGATACTTTGTCTCCCATCCGACATCCAGTGAGCATGCTTCTTGTATTGCTCACTTCCACAGTCAAGTACTTTACATTTGCTGTTTAGTTTTTTTAGTTAGGAGTTGGCAGTATGCATTTTTGTGAAGTGAAAGGGAAGTAAATGTTTAAAATTATTCCACTCTGTGGTGGCATTCCACTTTATTCACTACCAAAGAAGGTATGTGAGATCTGTTGGTTGCCTTTTTATGCCGAAATGCTTTTGTTCTTGTGTGGAGGTTTTCTTTAAAGACCCGTCTGTGGCAGCATCTTCTGGAAACTACTGAAATTATGTGGGGACTCTCAGTTTGTGTGTGTGAATTTCAGAAAAGTTGATAGGCAGGCTAGTTGCTATAGATTCAGTATGACTGCTTGGCAGCGCAAACAGAGAGGAAAAAGTAAGAAGGGACACAAACAAGTGCAGACTGGTAGTTAGGCTTAGTCTTAGAAGAAAAAATATATACAAGATGAAGGGGAAAGGGGGTTATGAAGGAAGTGTGAAGTGACATCAGGTGTTGACAAGAAATGTACTCACACTCTAAAAGAACACTGATAGAGAAGAACACTGATAATTGTGTCGGTTCACCCTCCATATGACTTTTATACACTTGTCACACGTGACAACTTAAAGGGGTCGTGAAACGTTCTCCAAAAACTAAACTACGCGTGTTTTCAGAATCCTAGCAGACCATTCAATACTATACCTCGACTCGTTTGATTGTGTGTGCTCAATGAATACATAAAAAAGCGCGATTTCAGTTTCTCAGCTCACGTTCCCGTCAACTGTGCCGCTGACGTCACTTTAAGGCAGCCAATGAAATCTCTCTGTTGTCGACAAAACACGGCGACGCAGCGATGTTTTTGAGCCTTAATTGACCGTAGTTTGTAGCATCATAGTGTTTGGAGCTGTCACCATCATCCGACTTTCCTGAACTACAGCGTCGTCTGCTTGAGGAGAGTTGGTTCAAGAACAAGGCGGCGGCGGTGACGATGCTGAAGAAGCCTCGTATTGAGATCGCGTGGCAGAACCTCCGCTTGCGGAAGCCTTGACCATGAGTTTTTCTCTCTGTATGCCCATTCCTATGGGGAACATCGTGGTTGATATCTCGAAGCAATGCCCAGCGCTGTGGCTCGCTGGGCAGCTTATGAGAACAAACGTTGTTTGCACTTTGATAAGTTATGCGTGCGGCACTGTCTGACGATGGACACGGTTGATGTAGCAAGGACTAAGCACTGCACACTTAGTGCGATTCAGTGTGCGACGCCGCACGCAGCTTACGTCGATTCACGACACATGGGGCGAGTGTGCCATCAGCGCTCGGGCTCCATTTACGTATGGCATCTCAGCTTGCACACTCGGACGACATTGTATTGTCTGACAAAATAAACAACCTCACACAGTCATGGTTCGTTGCCTAATACGTTGCTAACAAAGCTACGCCTTCGGGAGTGACAAACATCGTCGTAGCCCACATTTATTCTCGACTCCGAGCGTAGGCCTTGCAAAGTCGACGTTCTCAGTAGCGCTGCTCACTTTTCCAACGTGAGCTCATTGTCAAGCGCTTCTTTTTGCCAACGCGGTGAAAAGATGTATACTATATATAATGCTTTACCCGTGCAACTAGTTTTGTCGACGGCCTTGATCTAAACAGCAAAGTGGAAACGAAGCAGCCGGCTGGTTCGCGAGATGGCTGGTGTCACTGTTTGCTTACCTGCGAAATCGCCTTCCATCATGACTCAATATCTCGTTGGTAGTTCGGAAATGGATGTTGCCTTGCAGAAATAGCACACTTCAAGCATCAATTTATTCAATCATCAGTTATTTCCCATCAGAAACTGTTTATCCAATGTTTTCCATGCCGCCAGCAATGACGATATGCACAAATACTAAGGCGATCGGGGCTATCGGAGTGGCGAGAAAAAAGCTTGCGATGGGCGCCCACCAATGGCGCTCCTTGTCACGCTCCCACGCTGCCATTGGCCGCGGCCGCCAGACCGGTGCAGTTGCTGCGCGGCTGCATTCAGCCAGTTGGATGCTTGCTTGGCAGATCACTCATTTAATTGCACAGCATACAACTCAAACGCAAAAATTGCTTCGTTATTTTTTTTTTCTTGGTTTCTATAAATTATTACTTTGGAGCAATATAAAGCTAGCGCTGTGTTTTTAACTTCTCTTAATGTGACGTTTCACCTAACGTCGCATATTAGTGCCTGTAGTGGTCGATTGTCGCTCATGGTCGCTAGCGATCCCCAAGAAACTGCGACATCTAAGGGTGTCATTAATTACAGAATGGATATTGTGCCAAAATATTTTGGAACTAATATGTCCAATTCGTATTAAATCAGGGAAAATTACAACCGGAAAGTTTCAATTTCATTTCACGACCCCTTTAAGTACACTTGAGCGAGTACACTTCGACGTGAGTGTCATTTGCACGCTGTCGCACGAGAAGAGTGTCATTCGCTGCAAAGTACACTGTCGGCCAGCGTGTTCCCCAACCTCACTTCGCTGTGATGAAGTGTGTAGCCTCGGTACTAGTGGCTTGCACAGAAATACGATGTTGCCTAAAGCGACACTTACACTATTTTCAAACCATTGTTTTGGTTATAATGAATACTGCTGTGCTATAAAGCAAGTCATAAGTCAACAAAAACTTCGATACTCCCACAATCGAGCAGTTTGCTAAGGCGATGTGACAACACATGCTGTGCAATAACTTCGTTCGTCGCATTTTTTACTTTCTTGCACTCTTGCATATGTGCAGGTGAGTCGTTTTCTAGTCATTTGCAATGGCGTGCCACTGGTACTATTTCTATAAAAACAACGTGGTCCGACGATGAGACATAAGGGCAAAAATAACAAGTATATGTTGCCCTACAAATCCGCCAATCACCTCAGCTATAATTTTCAAAGTACACTGCGCTTTCTCGTGTAGCAGCGAAACGCCAAATGGACACTTTGTGAGCGTAAGTACACTCGATCAAAGTGCATTTAGATTGCCACCTGTGATAAGGGTATTAGATGTGAGATTGCGTTTCTTGACTACACCTGATGTTGGTTGGCCGTTCCCCATGTAACCCTCTTTTCCTGTAGTCTTTTCTTGTATATATTTCTTTTACAATAAACTTGTTTCAGTCTGTGCTTGTTTGTGTACCTTCTTACTTTGTCCCATTTGTTTGCTCTAGCAAGTTGTCAGAGTGTCTGAATTTGTCAGCAAAGGCCACTACAATCTCTTCTTACCCCATCTTCTTGCTCATAATATTCTCTCTTTTTTTGTGTATTTGCCTGATGTATGGTAGTTCACACGTGTTAATGCATTCAAACTTATTTATACTAAAGGCAGGTTATACATGAAAATATTGCCATGAGCATATTAGCTTGTATTACGTGGTATTGTTTCTGGCAGATTTGCATGTGCCATAGTGGAAATGATGATGGAGAAATCAGGCGAGAAAAGTCAATGAGTTCATTTCGCCAGTGATCAGACAGCCTGATGTTCTGTTGACCTCCAGTAAAGAGGTTTCTGTCAGTTTCTGTCTGTCAACTATGGCATTTACTGGTGGAGCTGTGGGGTAGCATTCTATGCACTGCAACCAACGCGAAGATCGCGACATAACTACAATGCCTTGGAAACCCAGCTGACCTTCGGCATAGTTGGCAGCAATTAAGCCTGCCGCCTCAGTTCGGGCCCTCTTTCAGAACTCTGTAGAAACGTGGCAAGCGCAACAACAATAACCCAGGCTTCGCAGACCACGAGGGTGCCTGCTCCATAGCTATTATATTCTTCGAACCCCAGAGCCATGGCAGTACTTTTGAGAACGTGAAAACTGGCTGGAGCAACATGAGTTCATCGTCACTGCCAACGAATGGGACAACTGTCCAAGCTCCTGCAGGTCTGCTTCTACCTCGAGGATTCAGCTCACATTTGGGAAGAGAACTACGAGGCTGCCTTGACAACCTGGCTAGAGTTTTGCACTTAGCTGCTGTAGTAACGTAGCGGACACAGGCCAAGACTACAAGTAAAAACAGCGTCATTTCTGAGACATCGGATTGCCGTCATCTTCACTTTATGAAGAGCTGTGTCCACACGCCATGCATATGCACCCAGACTCAGTTCTGAAGTTAGCGTCATACAGCACTTTCTTTCCCTAAAGTGTCTGGTTGAAAACCTGCACTTCCTTTCAAAACCTGTCGGAAACTCCTCTTTTGCAAGTTAAACCTCTGGGTAAGATCGGGTGTTCCACAGTGCTTCCATGCTGATTAATACCCGCCCTTTTGTCGTTTTGCTCCCAGAGTTCCCCTGATGTGGCAGCAAAGCTTCAGTGCGATGTCCGTTTAACTTTCCTTTGAATGAGACTTGAAGGCTCCTTGCGGCGCTTTCCAAAGTCGCATTTGGTCGACATGTGGTCGCTGTTCTCCTTCTTCCATATCAACAGTGAGCAGCCGGCCCCCGCTGGCAGCCATCACAGTACCAGGCAGCCATCTCTGTCCACTGTTGTTATACTGTCATGACCAAACTGGAGTTCCGGGAGAGAGACAAGTGGGAAGGCGTGGTGCTAGGGCCTTCCCACTGACTGTCTATTTTGTGCCTCTCGCCCCGGGAAATGAGCAGTAGTCTAGTTCTTGGTTAGGCACCCAGCAATATCTCTGCAGGTGATTTGCAATCCTTTACCGGCGTTGCACTGTAATGAAGCAAGAATTGAGCAGTCGTACAATTCAGCAACCCACTTTGTTCTTCTTTAGTGCTTCCTCGACAGTGCACTACACCCACTGGTGCTTCATTTGACTGCGATAATGAGGGGCTGTTGTCACATGACGGACATGGTTATCCCGAAAGATTGTCTTTGTCATCACACTAGTGAATTGGGGACCATTATCAGACAAACTGTGTGAGGCAGGTGGAAACGAGAAAAAATAATCTGAAGGACCTCCAATGTGGTATCAGCTGTCGCTGTTTTGAGTGGAACTGTTTCTATCCACTTTGCACCTGCATCCACCAGCACAAGGAC